ATATTTTTAATTACTTTTTTGTCTAAAAAAAAAAAAAAAATACTGAGAAAAATCCGAAGCTTTGATTTTATATAAACTGAACTATCTAAAACAAAAATTGAACTTAGTACCTTTATTAAAATCTACACTGTTACTAAAGATTAGAACTACAAATTCAATTTGAAGATATAAATAAAACCCTAATGGAAATACATTAGTTCTTTTAAGTGAACCTCTCCTCCAAAATCTGTGAGAACTATGTAACTGGAAACTTTATGGGAGGAACAGAAACACAGGTAGGATACAGTTAAAATAAATTTGAATTGTAATATCCCTTAGTTTCAGATACTGAGAATTAAATGAAAATTTAAGGGTCACATACGCAAAAGCTTAAAGATGTTTTAGTTCCTTTTGATTCACATCTACTTCAAAGATAAAACACCAACTGAATTTCCGCCTCTAAATAAACACATTATCTGAAAACACACCAAATCACAGGAATAATAATATTTAATCTTACCTGAAAAAGATCCAAAAGAGGCTTCCAAGAGAGCATTAAGACTGCTGCTTTGTTGATGGTTTTGGGAATTTCAGAATAAAACAGTGTATTTTCCCTGTTCTCACCAGACATGGCTATAAGAGAAAACAACAACTTATTTTTTTTTTAAAGTAGCATTCTTGCTACAATCATGGTAGAAAGTACATAGTGCCTTCTATGTATTCCGATATTTTGCATTCTAGGGGATCTATAATGGGTTTTAAAGAAAAATGCTCAGATTTCATTTTGATATTCAGATCTTAGTCTCAAAAACAAAACAAAACATAAAAGCATGTAAGATGATACAAGGAGAGTTAAGACAACTGTCATTTTTAGGAATTTTTGAAAATTGCTGGTCCTTTACAAGTTGGCAATAGACTCATGGGATTCCAAATGGGGAGACTCTGACAACTTCAGATCACTGAGTTTCTTCTTTTCCTGAATCATTTCCTTTTTTTAGAATTATCTCAGGTGAAGGGAAGGACAGCACACACTACAGGGGAGGTCAGCCCAACTGGACTAAACCAAAGCTAAGAAGTTTCCTGAATACAACCAAACACTTCAAGGGACAGAGTAGCAGGGGAAGAGGTCTGGGGACCATGCTTTCAGGGGACATCTAGGCCAACTGGCATAACAAAGTTTATCAAGAAAATGTTCTGCATCCTACTTTGGTGAGTGGCGTCTGGGGTCTTAAAAGCTAGCAAGTGGCCATCTAAGATGCATCAATTGGTCCCAACCCACCTGGAGCAAAGACAAATGAAGAACACCAAAGTCACAAGGAAAGTATTAGCCCAAGAGACAGAAAGGGCCACATAAACCACAGACTGCATCAGCCTGAGACCAGAAGAACTAGATGGTGCCTGGCTACCACCAATGACCACCCTAACAGGGAACACAACAGAGAGCCCCTGACAGAGCAGGAGAAAGGTGGGGTGCAGAACTCAAATTCTAGTTAGAAGACCAGACTTAATGGTCTGACTGAGACTGGAGGAACCCCAGAAAGCGCGGCCCCTGGACTCTGTCAGCCCAGCACTAAAACCATTCCTGAAGCCAACTTGTCAGACAAAGATTAGACTGGACTATGGGACATAAAATGATAATCGTGAAGAGTGTGCTTCTTAGCTTAAGTAGATACATGAGACTAAATGGGCAGCTCCTGTCTGGAAGTGAGATGAGAAAGCAGAGCGGATCAGGAGCTGGTTGAATGGACACAGGAAATCCGGGGTGGAAAGGAGGAAGGTGCTGTCACAGTATAGGGAGAGCAACTAGGGTCACATAACAATGTATGTATAAATTTTTGTATGAAAGACTAACCTGAATTGTAAACTTTCACTTAAAGTACAACAGTAAAATAAAAAAAATAAAAAAGTACTTGTTTAGAAACATCCATAGGTCTAATTGAATTCTAGTTTTTTTCTTAATTGAAAAAATTCTAAAAATATAATCACTAATAAGGCCTTTGTCGTTTCAAATGAAAGTATACTCATATTAAAATAACACAGAATTTGATATCTATTTTGCTAAAAATCTCTTGTCCTTTATTGGAGACAAAAGAAAAAGATCTAAACTAAGTAGAAGTCAGGGCTATCCTGTGAAATCATCCAGTAACTGAAGGGCAGGTCACGGCAGTGCAGAATGAGCTATACACAAAAGAAAAGCAAGAGAAACACACAACTGTTATGAAGATGTGAACCAAGCGAAACAAATCCCTTCTACTCCAAGAAGTGCTAGAAAGGTATTACTTCTAAAAGCTGGGCAAGAGTGCAGGAAGGAGAAAATAAATCACATTAAAAAAGAAAAAACTCTTTTGGGTGGAACAGGTCCTCAGCCTAGTATTTCCGATAATGGCAGAAGGGCATGGTAACTTCCATACTAACCCCTGCAAAGGCTGGAGACGAGCCCCCACGTATCCACATCTTCCTTTATCTCCATATTTTTCTAAACCATTTTTTAGTTTGTGTTGCTTTCTGGAGTAAAAAGTTCGACACTAGCTAACATTTACTTCAACATGTGACTTTGTCTTAAATCTATTTTCTATATTCTAGAGGTGATTCGTTCTAAAACTCTTAAGATTGCGGTCACCTATCTACACCATTTACAATTTTACAAAATGTGATCATATCCTCCATAAGCCCTCTTCTAAGAGCCTTCAGCCTTCAAATATGAAGGAAAAAAAAAAAAAAAGATTCTGTTCTCTTCTCAAGTAAGTCACTCCCCATAATCATCTCAGTTGGCCCTCTCTACACTGCTCCTAGCTTCATAATGTCTTCCTTAGCTTTATCCATGACAAAAATTTCCACAGCATTCTAGCTGTAGACACGCCAGTTCTGTATAAGCTCAAAACAGGCTTTCCCCATGTTCCTTTCCTGATGACACAATGGTATTTTACTGGTCTTCAGAGCTACAGCAGTCCACATAAGCTGACGTCCTCAGGAAACAGGCTCAATAAGTTCTGTTTCTCTCCAGGATAATGAGTATCATAAGGAACAAGAGGCAAAACTTAACATACGAAAAAGCACATCGTGGTGCAATGGTCGAAGCGCTTGGCTGCTAACTGAAAGGCGGGAGGTTCGAGACCACCCAGAGGTGACTTGGAAGAAAGGCCTGGAAATCAACTTCCAAAAAACCAGCCACTGAAAACTTTACAGAGCACAGTTCAACTCTGACACACATGGGATTGTCATGAGCTGGAGTCGACTCAATGGCAAGTGGTTTTAATGTGACAAAATGCTTGTTACTGCTTGCTACTAAATAAGACTTTCTTCTAAGTACGTCACATTTGCAATAAAGGTTCTCAAAAATGTATAATTTCCTATTATAAAAAATTTCTTTCAGTCAGGCTCTCAGAAAAAGTCTAAATTATACTAAAATTAAAAAAGAAACAAACAATAGATTTATATGGGAACACAATTAAAACTTGGAAGGACATAGAAGACTTGAACAAATGAAAATACAATTTTCTTGAAAAGCTTAATGTCTTAAAGATGTTAAGCTTAAAGTTTCCCCAGATTTATCTGTAAATATAATGTAATCCCAAAACAGTACAAATAGGATTTGGGAGGCTGGGGGCTATACAAGCTAATTTTAAGTTCTAGAAAAACAAGCAAGTAAAATGGTCAAGAAAATTACAGAAAAGAGTGATGAAGGGGGAACAGTGCTATCAGACAGTAAAACATATAGAGCTGTAATAATAATAACAGCAGTATAGTACTGGCCCGATGTATCAATGGAATAAAACAAAGCACAAAAAAAGACCCAAATACATACATGTGGACATAACATATGATAAAGGTGGCATTTCTAATCATTACAGAGAAAAGTGGATTATTTAAAATGTGTTGTTAAAATAACTGGAGATCCATCCAAGGGGAAAAAGTAGTTTCTCCACTTTATATGTTACACCACCAAAATAAATTCACTTTCTACCATATGATACAAAAACTAAATGAACAACTTAATTCTTCAAAGGTGTTGAAAGAAAACACTAAATATTTTAAAAAATATAATCCTGGAGTTGGAAAAGCCTTTCTAGATATGACACAAAGCTATAAAAAGTAAAAAAAAAAAAAATTCCCCACCCCCCCCAAAAAACCACAAATTTCTGCCAAAAGACACCAAACAAACAAGATAAATTAAAAGTGGGGGGAAATACTACCAAGGGTTAATTAATTTCCTTATTATACAAAAAACTTCAAACCAATAAGGAAAAGATCTAAAATCCAATGGAAGAAAAGACAAAGATTATAAACAGATCAGTCACAGAAAAGGAAATACAAGTGGCTTTTAAACATGTGAAAAGATGTTCAACCTCATTCATAAAGAAGAGAAATACAAATTAAAACTACAAAGAGAGACCAAGTTCACCACCTCAAGTTAGGAAAGGTCAAAGTTTTCTTCACTCACAGTTGGTGTGGGAAAATAGATAGTCTGAGACAATGCTGATGGGAATATAAACTATGTAACCTCTTTGGAGAGGCAATTTGGCAGTACCAGTCCAAATTCAGACTATACATACACCCTTTAAGTCAGCAATTCCACTCTTGGGAATTAGTCCTCTAGGTATATTCACACATGAGAGAAATGATCTGATAGTTGACAGTCACTGCTACACCTTTATGGTTTGTTTCTAATCTGACCATTCCTAGGGAAAGGCATTTGTAACTACTTTTAGGAAGAAGTAATTTCTGGCATCTTTGACTTTGAAATTAAGATCATGGTCTATGCATGATGCTACCTGCAAGGAAAAATAAAGTTAATTGGGACAAACCAAAATTAAAACAGCACCATCACTCAAGTTCTTCAAATCAAAAGCTTTGGTTTTTTTCTTCCCCCTTTAATGGAACCAAGTCACTTACTCATTTACTTACTCACCAAAATCCGAGGGCCAATTATATCTAACCTCCGTGTTTGAATTAAGAAAACATTTCATGTGAGGAACTGTGACTTCAAACTCACCAAGGTAATAGATCCGGTCCGAATGAGGCCCATCTGGATCGCTCCTCTTCACAAACATGAAATCATGAGGTGCCTTAGCCATCATGTAGCCATGATACTTTCTGGTATCAGCGAGCAGCTTTTTAAGCTGACTCCACGAATATCGCTCAACATAAAATGGCTCCAATTTAGGCTGATCTTGTGATTCGATATTCTCCTCACACTCTGCAGTTTCAAAGATCTCAACACCCAGCTGTTCTGTTTCCATTGCTGCTGCCATGTTGCATTTTCCTAGAAAAACAAGGAACATGAAGCTGGTCACAGGCCCGCCTTCTCTTATATTAATCAGAATGACAGTCTGATAGGGCCAAAAAAAAAAAGTGTTTTTCAGCACAGCTGCAACAAAACCTAGTAAGAAAAGCAATAGCTGCCCCTTCTCTGTGTTCAGTTTGAAAATGAGATTTTTAAAAAATTGAGGTCACATCTATTTCATAGTGACTATAAATCCCTTTGGGAACTTTTATAAAAGAGACTTCTTAGGTATCTCTTGCCAAAATTCCTTTTTCTTTCCCACACTGGAAGGAAACAGGCCATATGCCAGTTGGCTACTATGCTCCACCCAAAAGCATGTCAACAGTGAGGCGAAATGTGCCAAGGGAGTTAAGTGTTTCGGCATTTTAAAAAGTAACATGCTTGATAAACATGGATTTCTGCAGCTAACAGAAATCATCACTACCAATTAGAACAGTAATAAAATTGTTGTAAACAATGTACTTGTAATAATCTTCCTAGGCACTTACTCAAGGTAACAGAAATATTATTTCTTTTAAAATTAAACTCCAAACAACTTCACTGGCTGGTGCTGTTTGCTCTGAGCCTTCTGCTCTTGCCTAGACATCATCTTATGATCACTTAGGGTGATGCTGTATTTTAAGGAAACTTATGAGATCACTATTACAGATTGTACAACTTTTACTCTCATGATTAAAAATAAGAGAAATACAGGCACTATCTTCAAGTGGCTTTAATTAGTTGAAGTAGTTGATGCAGAAACATTTAATGTTTGTACCATCATATTTTGATTAAAGTTTTAATCCAATTTATCAGTTCAACCCAAAAACAGTGTTTATTAATATCTCATCTACTAGTATTTCTTCTCATTTCACAAATCCAGAAGAGGATGTATTTTCCTTTACTCCAATATTTAAACACAATGTGAGGCAAGTATAGAGAAAATACCTAAAGTGTTATCATAAACCACTGTGTGATATTCTGACATGCACTGTTTCTAAATTACTTATGAAGCTACTAAAAGGAGCAACATAAACAAAAATTCTGGCAAAACCTGCTCTTTTCGAACTAATGTCAAAACACGGATTTGGGAGAAAGACTAGATTGCGTTTATGTAACCAATTTCACAGTAATTAACTACTTCTGGAAAAATAATCAATACACAGCTTTATATTTAATATGATGTCTTTTCTAATGCACAGTTCTGAAGGTTAACATGAGCTCATGATAAGAACAGAGAAAAAGTTTTCAGCAGGTGTGGCTTGTGAATCGGTCTATCAGGCATAAATTACTGGCATGAAAATGAACTGTGTAGCCAAGATACTGTCTTTCTTCATGCTACAGTGAACTACACTATCACTTTCAATAAACAGTAACAAAAATGGCCAGAAAACCCATTAGACAGTTACCTCTGATACACAACTTGTAACAGTATTACAACTGGGCATTCACCTCCAAGTAATTAAAATTCAAACCATCTCAGCCAAGAATTAAGTCATTTAGCTCAACCAGTATTCAGCAAAAGCCCTCGTGGTACAGTAGTTAAAGAGCTTGGCTGCTAACCAAAAGGTTGGCAGTTCAAACCCACCAGCCAGCTGCTCCTTGGAAACCCTATAGGGCAGCTCTATGAGTTGCTATGAGTCGGAATCAACCGGATGGCAACAGGTTTGGTTTTATTTTTTTTTTGGTATTCAGCAAACTGACACTAAGTGGCAGTATGTGATAATGGGGGTTGGTTACCCATCTAAAAGCTAGTGGAAGCCTACTTTCTATCAATTATATCAACAGTCCTAGTTTTATTTCTAATGGAGTAATGGACAGGTGAGAGAAGAGTTTCCCCAAATTAGGCTCATTTTTCTCAGCTTTCCTTGTGTTAAATCTGGACCTTCATCTCCAAACCACCACTCCCAATACAGGGTTAAGGAATGTAACAGGGAAGAAGCTCAGCAGACAGACTTCCCAAGCCTTAATGCCCAGCTTCTTAAGTCATCAACTTGACATCTCTCCTATGTAAAAGTTGCATCAGCTTATATTCAAGTAAAATTATCTAGTATTCGTAAATATACTAGCTCCCTGGACTCTCTCTCTTCACACACACACACACACACACACACACACACACACATTATACAGTTCAAAGGATACAGTTCACACACACACACACACACACACACACACACTATACAGTTCAAAGGATACAGTTCAAAACCTACTTTATAGGTTTACGGTAAATGTGTATTCTGTATTTCCGCAGACAGACCTCGTATTATGTGTTTTTAGTAATTTACTCACATGTGTAACAAAATGACTTAATTTACAGACTTTCATAACATCTTATATGCAAATACATTCTCAAAATATGTGGCCCGAGTTTTCTAATTTCAAAAACTGGAAAACAGGGTCAGCATAAATTCTCAGCACAGTGCATATATTGCATTGCCCTTTCTACCTCTTCACTTAATTACCTTCCCTGGTGCCTACCTGATTGTATTTTCATCTGCCCAGATCTCTTCCACATTCAAAGAGATCTTTTTCAAAGGACTCAACTTCAAGCATAGATCCCTATGCTCATTCTCTCTCTTCTCACAGGAGTCTTTCCTTTCATCACCATTCAATCCTGCTCACCAGGATAACGAAATAAGATATAAGGCTGTTGATCGTTAATCAAATTGTAAATGTGGCCAAAAAGATCAGATCTAAAAAGTCCCAAAAGAGTACTTAAAACTAATTCAGAAACATTATTTTTGGGGGGATAATGCGTAATGCCAAAACTATTTTGTGTGCAATTTACATTATCAAAATTAAAAAATGATTGCCGAGATATGGAGCCCAATTTCCTCAACAGAATATCCTGACAGCAGTGTAAAGCCTGGTATCTAGACATACACTAAAGGCAAGTTATGAAAGAACTTTAAAAAGTATAAAGGGGATACAGATGTGAGGTTTCAGTGGCTATCGAAAATCCTCAAAAATGACAGATGATTTATAATAAAACACTCCTGCGTGTCTGTTCCTGTTCGTCTTTTGTGTAATAATCTCACATTGAACTGGTTGGAGACAATCAGACTCAGTGGGATAACCAGTAAGAATTACAGAACAAGCCATTTTTTATAAAGGGAACTAACTTGTATTTAATAATTTAAGATATTCACAAGATAAATGTGCTATCTGTATTAAGTGCATTCTGTTTTTGCTTCTTTCCTTACCACTTAAACTCTGAAAATAACCAAAAAGGTTAACTTTTATGGAAAAATAAGTATTAAGCTTGCCGAAATTTTGGCTTAGTAAAAGGAAAAAAAAGGACGATCTGTGATTATGCCTGTTACTTTGTCATCGGTTTTCATTCTGGGCTCTTGTAGCACAAGTAGGTGATGGACAGAGATGTGGTGAGGAAGGCTAAGTGGCAAATAAAGCAAAAACAGTTATGCTAGCACAACAAAAATGGATGAAGATGTCAAGACACTTTCCTACAGCACAGAGCCCTTAACTGAGAGAAAGGCACGCTGGCTTAGAAAATAATCTCAGGACTCTTGAACGTGGGTCCCTCCAAATGACATTCCTTAACGCCAGGGCCAAACGCTCATTCGTCCACTTAAACACTTCGAATCTCATTGAAGCCTAGGTATTTCACTCTTCAGGGTCCATCGCTAATCGAGATATTCATTATCACAAAAAGAGCAAAGATCTTGGGAAACCTATGAATGAAGACGAGGTGTAGCAGACAACGTTGAGAAGAAGGTCTTAGGACAAAAGTGTGTGAAGAGGAAGGGTTGACAGGAAAGGGAAGTATCTACCCTGCTGCAGGTGGGTGAAATGGAATGGGAGGGGACAGTGAGCAGGGAGGGAACTGACCTAGGATGAGGCGGTAGAGATGAAAGACCAGCTGGGAAATCAGAAAATCTAAGTCTGAATCCGATCTGCCACAGTGGGACCTTAGGCAAATTCCTTCGCCTCTCTGGGCTTCCGTTTCCTCATCTGTAAGCCCAGACAATACCCAGTCTCCCAACCCCAGCGAGGTTCAATTAAGATAACGGACGTGAAGTCCGGAGCCCAGCTCCCAGTGCTCAGGAGTTTCCCAGTGAACGTTGGCTGACTCGGAATCTCAGAGTCTCGGCTTCCTCTTCCGGAAAGTGGGCCCCTGCCACCCGCTCTGCCACCGCGCAGGGTGCTGCGCCAAGTAAATGCAGAGCCGGCTAACCGGGAAAACGCGCCGAGCCGTTCCTCGGTGAGACGAGGAGAGCCCAGGTGAGTTGCGGCCCAGGCCTCGCGGGCGAAGAGGAAAGAGAGGGGGCGGGTACTGCACCTTCCCCCCGGCCCCGCCCGGCCCGTCCCAACTCGCGCTAGGGAGCGGGCCTGCGCCGCCTCATGCCGCGCCGCCTCCACTCCGGTCCCGGGTGCAGCGGCGGCCCGGGCACCCAGCGGCTTCCTCGGCGGCGGCGCCGGTAGCAACCCAGGCTGCGAACGCGATACTTAAGGGCGGCTGCAGCAGCTCCGGTGGCCCCGGCACTTCCGGTTCCTCGCAACCCGCCCTGCGACTGGCGAAGGTGAAGGCGGAGCCGGGCCAAGAAAGGCGCCGCTCCCTGCTGGGCCGGGTCAGTTACCACGGCGCCGTCTAGCGGCGGGAGGAGCGAACGAGGCGAGGGAAGGAACGGAGGGAGGGGACAGAAATGAAGTCCAGACTGAGGCAGCGACTTGCCTTAAGTCACAGAGCGAATTGTAGCATGTCTCTACTCATTCAGTTTTTCATTCAACAAATATATATGCTATGTACCAGGCACAGTTGTAGACGCTGGGGTTAGAGCCGGGAGCAAAACAGACAAAAATCCCTGCCGCTTTATGGAGATGACAGAAGAGGACAGGGACTGGGGCCTTGGAGATCTTCTGAGCGTTTCATTGTTGTGATGGAAAGAAACCTGATCTTGGAGTCAAAAAGCTTGGCTCTACAATACTGATTAGTAACCTCCAGTAAGCTATTCAATCTGTTCATCTGTAAAAAGGTATAATAATACATGGCACTTAGTTGCTATCAAAGGAACCATGTATGTCACACTAACTCATACAGTTTAAGAAACTGGGGTGCAAAAGAGTTAAGTGAGTGACTTGCTGTAATCAGAACCAGAGGCAGTTACCTTGACCCTGTCAATTTTTTCCAATGACATTGGCTGAGAGAAAGAAAGAGAAAAAGAGAGCCTGGGGAGATGGCGGCGAGGCTGAGCCCTTCTATTTTCTGTTGTTACCAAGGAGTCATGTGTCAGAGTTGTGCCATTAGGATTTACTATAATAGCCCTAATAAAAGATCCATTTGGGCACCATGTTCCACTGCCCAGTATGTAATTATTCGCTCTGAGGTTAAATGAACCTTCCCTCAGGCTTTTCTTAGTTGCGCTCCCCTAAAAGAAAGGTATAGTCATTTTCACTGCATCACCTCTGTGAATTTTCTGCGCATGACCCAAGGGCAGATTTTAAGGCTTTAAATGCACATGTACATACTAACAAAATACAGTGAGAGAGCTTGCATTTCCTTTCATTCAACCCGTTTATTAAATCTCTATCGTGTGCCTGTCACTATGCTAAGCACTCGGCTGCAACAGGGAACAACATAGACAAAACCTCTGTGTTTGTAAAGTTGACATTCTAATAAGGCGAGCTAGATTCCCCCAAAGCAAACAAACAAACAAAAAATACATAATTTCATGGATTTAAGAAAGAGAGAGAGAGAGAGTCCCAGAGAGGTAAAGGGCTCACCTAAACCACATGATTAATTAGGAAGTGAAGTAGATTTGAATACAGGTCTCTTGTTTTTCAGTCTTATTTTCTCCCCCTGTGGTAGGCTTTGGGGGCTCCTTGTCCCTCAGCCCTCCTGAACCTAATGCACACACATACAAACACACACACACACACACACACACACACACACACACACAGGATATATATTTACATTAAGAATAATAGAATCAAGGAATTGGGAGTAATTTTAGAGATGATCTATCCCAATTCTTTTATTTCACAGAAAGGATGCCGAGGCCCAGAGAAGGAGTGACCTGCCCAAGGTCACACAACAACTTACTAGTAGCTCCCACATGAAACTTCCAAAATCAATCAGACACCTGCACTGATTTCCTCCTGGATTTAGAGCATGACCCAGACTGTGATGGTTAAGATTGTGTATCCCTTTGTTAGTGGCATCTGGAGTCTTAAAAGCTAGGGAGCGGCCATCTAAGATGCATCAATTGGTCCCAACCCACCTGGAGCAAAGGACAATGAAGAACACCAAAGACACAAGGAAAGTATTAGCTCAAGAGACAGAAAGGGCCACATAAACCAGAGACTGCATCGGCCTGAGACCAGAAGAACTAGATGGTGCCCAGCTACCACCAGTGACTGCCCTGACAGGGAACACAACAGAGAGTCCCTGACGGAGCAGGAGAAAAGTGGGGTGCAGAACTCAAATTCTAGTAAAAAGATCAGACTTAATGGTTTGACTGAGACTGGAGGGAACCCGGAAGACATGGCCCCCAGACTCTCTGTTAGCCCAAAACTAAAACCATTCCCGAGGCCAACTCTTCAGACAGAGATGAGACTGGACTATGGGACATAAACGATTGCCGTGAAGAGTGTGCTTCTTTAGCACATGAGACCAAATGGGCAGCTCCTGTCCAGAGGTGAGATAAGAAGGCAGAGAGGGTCAGGAGCTGGTTGAATGGACACGGGAACTCCGGGGTGGAAAGGAGAAGCGTGCTGTCACAGTATAGAGAGAGCAACTAGGGTCACATAACAATGTATGTATAAATTTTTGTATGAGAGATTAACTTGAATTGTAAACTTTCACTTAAAGCACAACAATAAAAAAAAAAAGATTGTGTGTCAGCTTGGATGGGCCATGATTCTCAGTGTTTTTATGGTATCAATCCCATGATGGAATCTCTGTGAGTAGCCAATCAGTTGAAAGGGAGTTTCCTTGGGGGTGTAGCCTGCATCTGAATATAAGCAGACGTTCTGGCTTTTTTGCTCGCTTTGGATCCTGCAGCTGCCTCCTATTCCTCCGACCTCTGGTTCTTGGGACTTGAGCTATCAGCTTATCTGCCAGTCTTGGAATTCGTTGATCTTCACAGCCTGTGAGTGGGAGCCCTGCTCTCCAACCTGCCAATCTTGTGTTTGCCAGCCCCTGTAGCTACGTGAATCAGGAAAAGACTTGGAGTCTTGCCTGCCAGTCTTGGGATTCATCAATCTTCACAGCCTGTGAGCAAGAGCTCTGCTCTCTGACTTGCCAATCTTGGGTTCATCAGCCTCTGTGGCTACGTGAGTCGAGAGAAGCCTCTATCCTGGTCCATGGATTTGGGATGTTCTAGCCTTTACAATTGTGTGAGCCAATTTCCTTGATATAAATCTCTCTATATATATTATATATTTATACATTTTACTGGTTTTGCTTCTCTAGAGAACTCAGCCTAAGACACAGACCAAAGGAAGGGAAGACTATGGGGCCCCCGCTTCCAAGAGAGGCATGCCCAAAGGCTTGTTGGATAACACTGCCTGCCCCTACCTCCACCCAACAACAAGCATCACTTTTCCAATTTGAATTTAGTCAAACACAACTTTCTGACATCATTAAAGAAAGATCCACCAGTAATCCCACCATCCTATTATAACATTTTTGTCTTATATACATATTTTCCATATGTAGCAGGAGCAACATTTTCAAACCACATATAGATGTGTACATATTGTTAAATTTCCTTGCTTTTTCAATAACCTGACCCAATTTATATTTATCTGACCTATTCTACCTAACAGTACAAAGTATAATCTTAGTCAATTCCAGGCAAACCCAGGATACCCTTGGTGGAGGGAATTATGACCAGTCCCTGATGCACACCAGGATCTCCTGAGATGACTTTATCCCAGCTAATCCTCAGGTGGAGCCCTGGTAGCGAAGTGGTTAAGAACTATGGCTGCTAACTAAAAGGCTGGCAGTTTGAATCCACCGCTGCTCCTTGGAAACCTCATGGGGCAGTTCTACTCTGTCCTAGGGTTGCTGTGAGTCAGAATTGACTCAACAGCAACAGGTTTTCTTTTTAATCCTCAGGTGGAGCCCTGGTGATGCAGTGGTTAAGAGCTCGGCTGCTAACCGAAAGGTCAGCAGTTTGAATCCACCAGCTGTTCCTTGGAAACCTTATGAGGCAGTTCTACTCTGTCCTGTAGGGTCGCTGTGAGTCGAAATCAACTTGAGGGCAACTGGTTTGTTGGCTGGTAATCCTCAGGTATCACCTTTATCCTCCATCATACACCCACTGAGATGTCTGTTGTCTGTCAAGTCCCCAGTCATTAGTCCATATTCTCTGTTCCTTCTTGTTCCAACCACTGCCTTCTCACATGCTGTCCTATACCTCTGCCTACACCCATGCAACCTTGGCCCCTCTCTTGCCAAACCCTCAATACGCCATCTCCACTTGCTGCTATTACACTAAGGCAACACTTCTCTAGGGCCTCCTTCAAATACTTCGGCGAGAGCAGAGGTCTTCTGTTTCCCTAGATCCCTAAACCTACCGCAAGGGGTGGGTGTGGGGTGGGGCCCTACCATCCTCCTAAAATAACAAGGCAATCCAGTCCTGCGGTGGACTGAACCAAGTCACAAAGCATAATGATATAGCCACCTTGCATAAAAGACAACGTGGGGATAAGTGTGCAGAAGCTAAGCTTTGGAGAAGCCCTTAAGGAGAGGTGAGGGCAAGACCCAGGCCCCTTCCCTTTTGATCTTCTTCTCCCCACTCTGCTTGGAAAATTTTTATTGACTTTGCATACTCTTCCCAATATCTTCTGTTCTACACATGCGGC